ATGCTCATGCATTTATTCATGTAGAAAAGAATTTATATGTACGTACATATATTTTTCGGGGTCGGAGAGAGGAAGAGGAAAAGAAAGGGTAGAAGGCAGCATAAAAAAAATATTATCTGCAATGCACCCGACTTCATTTGCCTTTTCTGTAGTTGCTGTTACTACGACTATAGCCAATAGTAGTCGCTAATATGGTGCTTAACATTTGCTATGTACGAAAAAAAAATATCTTAAACATAATTTTTCATTTTAACCGGTAATTATACTTAATAATAATAAGTGCAGACCATTAAATTTATACGAGGGACTATTGTGTGGTGAATAGTGGTAAAATTGTGCATGCATTAAATTATTCAATATTTATTTTTTTTTTGCATAAAAGTAGTGCCCTGTGAAATGTGATGAAATAAGTACAGAGAAATAAAGAAAAAAAAATTAATCAACATCGGAAAGCTATTTGAATTGACGTCAACACCAATTGCAGTGCTGAATAAAAAAAAAATTAAAAAAAATATTCTCTCTTTTAATTATGCATTTTGGCATAAAAATAATTTTATTGAGCAATTACACAATTTAATTAATCGACACAGAATGTATAGGACATTTTTTAAAAAAATTACTAATTGAATATCCGAAAGTCATCAACGAGATGAGACTGATTTTGAAAATCTCAGACATTCATATATTATTGTTCATGTGCTAATATTCTCCACGAAATTGTACTTATGCCACACACTGAATAATTTTTTTTTTGTCGTGATGTGTCATGCTCATTGATAGCATTCAATTGCTTTACACTTTAACAGATTCAGCTTTTTGGTTTTTAATGGCATAAAAACTTTATTTTCTCATGCATTGAAATTTTATGTTGCAGCAATCAAGCATAAAGCGACTAAACAGAGCAATTCAAAACATAAAATTTTATTGGTCACAAAGAGCTGTGTGCTGCGACTACATTTATGTGGATTTCTTCTGTCAATAATATGAAAAAAAAATCACTTTTCGAAAATGTGCAATGCTGAAATTAATTTATACAACACAAAAAAAAGTTGTCCTTTGTGAATAAAATTGAACGCTCATTGAGCAGTAGAACTGTGAATAAGAAGTTTTATTTGGATTGCATCCCGAGTGGCAAATCCGTACGGATTAAAAAGTTTATATGGATTTTAAATTCAACATACGAAATGTTTAAAATTGCAACAATGACTTCGTGTCAAACAATTAAAACTATGCAACGAAGTGAAAGCAACATCAAAACATTGTGCAGTTCGGGATGGTTGATGCTGAAAATTTGAATTTCAAAACAATGCTTTGATTCGAAAAATCTCGAATCTATTTGAAATCGATTGTATTTGAAATTAGATTTTCGACTTTTAGAGGACTATATGTGAATTTTTTATGTCTATTGAGAGCTTTTGATCATCAATTGCTGAAATTTAACTAAGAATCAATAGAGCAATTGGAATTTTAATTAACCTGGTATACACATTTCAATTAAACTGACATGAAAATCCCTGAAAAAATATTTTTAAAAAACATTTGCTTGAATTCCTTAAATTTTGATGCACTAAGGCAAATTTTCAATTCATAAAAACTCAAAAGCATTTTTACACAAAACTGAAATCCTTCCTTTCCATTCAAATGATATTGAAAAGTCAAGCTAGATCCTGTCCTATAGAAATGTAAATTTTTTTCCTTGTCTCTCCCGGAAGAGTCTTTAAAGTGAAAGGAAATATCCTATTTTTACCGTCTTCTCTAGCAGACAATGCTGATAATATTTTTTTTTTCATTTTATTCATTGTTGCTGGAGGCATTCACGTAAATAAGAATAGAACATATTTATGAATAGAAATGGATGTGGATTTTTAAAATTTCCGAAATGGAATGATTTGTCAGGGATAAAGAATTTGTAAAGTATAGAAAAAATGCGTGTGCTTGCCAGGATCGACCATTGTCCATTGTTATCAATTTTCAATCGATATGAATGAAATGATTTTCGTGAAAAATCAAGAAGTAGAGGGGCTCTAGACCAGTGGTTCTCAAACTGTGTGTCGCGAAAAAATTTGATTTGCTTAATTGACCATTTATATTCAAGTTTTGGGACTTAAAAAAGATCATGTGAATAATTTAGCGTGCGGCGAGACTGTTCAGGTGTGGCGTGGACCAAAAAAGTTTGAAAAACACTGCACTAGACCTTAGCATACTTCTGACTGCGTCCTAATTACAAATTTCACAGTTCGTCAACTCAATTGACAAAACATTAAGCATACGAGATGTTAAAAAAATTCTCTTTTATTCCAAACTAAATGTGTCCCAAATAGAGTTTTTTCCAAACTATTAAAATGTAGTCATTACAATCAATTAAAACTTTGTGCACGAAAACCAAATTTTTTTTTGTCACAGATTCACTATTCAAAATTTTTAATGAACATTGACAAAGAACAAGTTAAATTTAATGTGGGAAGGCAGTTCCAACAGTCATTTTATACTGGGATTTAATTAATTAATACATTGTAAATTTTTCATACAATCATGTAGTTTGAATTTGTCATTAGTTGGCTCGTAAAGCTTTTAGTCCCGCAATACGAAATTAATTTTCGTTTCAAAAAGTTTCCTTGGTGATAAAAGTTTTGATTTTTGTTCCGTTAATTATTTGTCCAGCTTGTGGGATAATATTTTCAGTAATCGAAAGCTAGTAGAGTGGGATGAGCTGGGTTATATACTTTAACATTTTGGTATAGTCTCGAACTATTTCGAATCGAAAGCTGGTATAAAACCACTCAATCACCCTTCGTCCTTCTCAATGTGCTCAATAAAGTTCTAAGAAATTTCATGTATTTGAAATATTCAAAAGCTTTCCATAAATTCTCAATTTCACACGTATTATGAATACTTATGTCCGCATGTAAGTGTAGTTGTGTGTAAAATACAAATGTATGATGACATGTGGTAGCGTGTCCTTGTAAAGTGGGAGAGCGTGTGTAAAGCAAGAATAATAAAGGAAAAAATCTGTTAAAACGACCACAGCTGAATAATGAGTTTTTAAATCTAACACGAGTGCCACGACAAAGGGAATAAATAAATATAGTTTAAGTATCTAAAAACTTAGACTTAAAATTGTGACATTTCTTCTTCAAGCTCTTTTTTGTTAAAATTAGCAAGAAATTGCTCAACTTAAAAAAAAGTCTTTTAATGCCAAAAAGTCGAGCTCGCCCATCAATCTTCGAAAAGTCATTTTAATAGCTTTCAAATCAATTAATTTGTAAGACATTTTCACATGTCTTGAAATTAAAATTGTTTTTCTTTTCTTTTTCTATCCTCACAAAAATCATATTGATTTTAGCAAAATGACAGAAAAATGTTGGTCTAGAAAAAAGTTACTTGACGTCAAGCAGATTGCATATAAATGTCATATTTACAGACACTGTTAGGGGGGTCAGCACTGTCGTCATTTGGGTATGTGAAGAATTGGGATGACTAAATGTATGTTTGTGATGTTTCACTGGCTTTGATAATTTAGATGCTGAGTATTTAGGTTAAACTATTTAGCCTGTTGTAATCTGCTTATCTTTGAGATTCATTGCATTGAAGATTGTTTACTCAAAAGCATGGCAAAACAGATTCGATCAAGGCTACAATCCAGTTCACAGTTTCAAGAATAAAGATCAGTGATGGTCAACTCATGTGCCTTGGCACATTAGTGTCACCACTGAAAACTATGTTTATGGTTAAATTTTTGCTCCAGCTTTGAAAGTTAAATTATGCATCAAAATGCACTTTAATCGAAAATTGATGTCCTTATTCTAGGATATTGATTAAATGTGCCTATTGATAGGGAAGCCTAGCCTTGACCCCAGTTTAACAATAAGATTTGAGGTGTGTAGTGTAGAGTCAAAAACATTATAACTTATAGTAATTGAAACAAAATTAACCCTAACCTGCTTGGGTTTCAAATTGAAAATTCCTTTTAAATGTCCAAACATCCCTGCCATTTATAATTTGGACTAAATACATGATATCTTTCATCATTTCTATGTTGTCCCCACCCTTACAAATAAAATATGTCAAAACTCATTAAAATCCTTCAAATTTTCATTCTGTCAAGTCAGCAGCAAACAATTTCAAGAAAAAATTAGTCACATGAACATAATTTTGAGAATTACGCTAAGCATACCACGTGCACAAAGAAACTTTTACAAAAAATCTCTTCTTTTTCCTCGGTTTTAAGAAGAATTCCCTCACACAAATAAAGTTTCACATCCTCAGACAAGTTTAAAGAGAGCAAATAATGTGAAATCCGACTGTGCTCAGTTTGAAATTTTTTTTCTCCCTTTTTGCTTTATTATTGTTTTATATCGTACAGAAGCAGAAGCAGCACCAGTTTTCTTCACATGTTTTGACCTTATTAAAAATTTAAAAAAAATAAGGAAAGGAAAATTTATAAAATAATTTTTTTTTTCTGTGTAAATGTTTTGTCGTCGTCTTGTGCGCTCTCTCAAGTTCTTTTAATAATTTAGACGTGGAAATAGTAATTTATAAAGATTCTATGTGAATCGATGCACAAAAAATGTGATTTTTAAAGTGGCTTTTTGTTCTCTCTAGATTTAATTATGTGAATAATAATTTAATTTTCGTGCAAGATTAAACAGTGAAACTTCTTCTGTCCGTTCTTATGAAACAGCCAAGGGAGAAAGTTCCTTTGATGGATGAAATAATGATGAAAACTTTGTGATATGAAAAAATAAAAAATAAAAAAAAATTTATAGAAAAAAATTAATATAATCAAAAATAGTTTCTCATTCCCCCTTAAGAAATAAATAATAAAAAATGAGCATCAGTGAAAATGTAAAAAATGTCTACATAATGTAAATGAAGCTCAAACAGAAGCGGAAAAAATGCAATTTGTCAAAAGAAAAGGAATGAATTAGCGTAGTTAAGAGAAGCTTATTAGTGAGAATAAGAGGAATAAAGTTGTTTTTAAAAAATATTCAAATTAGCCAATGGCAGCTGTAGCTGGATTATATGGTCTTGGTCCAGACGATCGAGGCCATCAAAGGCGTCGTGGTCAACAGCAGCAGCAGCAACAACAGCATGAGAAATCTATGCAAACACCCGATGGGCTGAGCGAACCGTAAGAAAGCCCGAATAATTTTCAAATTTACTATTCGAACTCGATTAATATTGATGGGGAATGGCAGGCATTCTTTGGGGTTGAGTGAGACTCTTAGTATTTTATTTTTGACGGTATGGGTGATTTTGAAATTAATTGATGCATTTTAAGTGATTAGCATTATTAGCGTATTAATTTTAATTTGGAGCAAGGCACAACTGTCAAGAACTTAGTAATTAGAGTTTCACCTTGGCAGTAATCGAATATATTGAAATGCTGCATTTTAAATCTTTCATAATGTCATGAACATTAAGTAATTCCTTGTCAAAACAACAAGAGTATGGAATGATTCGAATCAACCTACTGATAGGAATCGAACTCTAATCTTTGACAGATTTGTTTGCATATGGCTCAGTACTTTATCATCTGCTCCTACAATTGCAATTAAATTCATTCTTATAGCTTTGTGGCTAATATTTCAATAATTAAAAAGGCTGTGTTATTTTGTGCAAGACAAAATAGTGCCCTAAAATCCTAATTTTCAAACAATTCACAAACATGACCCAAAAATGACTGCCATATCTCTTTATATGCTACTCGGGTTCATTTTATTTGAAAAATTTCTTTAATAATTTTTTTTTCTTTTTAATTTATGCTTCAATTTTTTTTAAAAACATTTTTTGCTGCATCTGAAAACTTTTCGTTCGCATATCAACGATAAATTTATTTTTCTTCTCTTTAAAAACTCACAAAACAATAATAAATAAAATAAAATGCAATCTGAATACAAAAAAAAAATTAAAATTAAACATAATAAAAAATATAAAAAAAAAACTTTTTCCCAACATTATGATGGTGAGTTTCTGGTGGATATTTAAATTTTTATAATGTTTCTTATGTGGTTGTGTTTTTTAAATGTGTGAGTGTGTATGTGTCTCTACCCCCAAAATATATATTAATGTCGTGTGTCATCATCCTTCGTCCATTATATAATGAAATTTATAGCCAAATAACAACAATAATTTTCGACCCGTACAATAAATTTAATTTAAAAAGAAGCTCAAGATGAATGTGAACAAAAAATTATTGTGTGCGATGATATTCAATATTTATAACTGTGGCTATTAGAATACACATTAAGTTTGTTTCGTTTGTGGATGTGCTAATAATGTTGTTTTTGGTTTGTTGTTGACCAGTTGTTGGAAGTTTCACTTTAAATTTTTGTGACACTTTTCACATTATGAGAATTTAATTCATTGGAGCTACCCTGAAACAGGAGTAGATTCTGAAAAAGAAGCGTAGCTGTGGGGGGGGGGGGGGGTTTAGGTGACAAATTCTCCTTCAGTAACAGGAATTTTTCGTTTTGCCGGGGTTTTTATAAAAAATTGTAAAAAATCCAAAACCCCCCTCTTGAAATTCTTGGCTACGCCCCTGTTTTGAAATAATTCAAACTAGGAACAACTATATTTCTAGATTTAGATCAAAATCTATTAAAATAAAATTCAGCATTTTCATAAAATTTAAATTAAATCCATAATTTGCATAAATTTTTAAAATCCTCACTCAAAATAAATTAAATAAAACAAAAGCCTTTGTGCTCATTGAAGCATCAATCTTGAACAAAATTCTGCATTGTCTGTCCGATTATAAATCGATCATCATCGTTGATTTCAATAAAAACTTTATCATTTTTTTTTTTCATCAACAATTTTTATGATGTTGTTCTACAAATATTGATAAATGGGTCAACATTTTGAGGATTAAATTTTTCACACATTTGCACCACACATTCACGCAATAATGTGCCACAAAATATTAATAATTTTTGCAACCATAGACTTGATGAAAATGTTTGCTCATATTTGAAAAATTAATTTTAATTTATTTAAAAAGCATAATTGTGTTTTTATTGAATTATTTATTGGTGATGTTGATCAAGTGAAAATAAAATATTAAATGAGAGAGAAAAAAAATATTTTTTTTCCGTTAGAGATTTCAAAAATATTTTTGGGAAGGAATTAATAATTTTATTCATGAATTGAATCAATTTTCGGAAGCGTTTGAACTTGTTGAAATTTTTATTTTAAAGCTTAATTAGAGCTATGGCTGGAAAATTCTTCTTCTTTGCCATAAAGATTCTACAATAATTTAATTGCATATCAAATGCTCCTTTCCCCAACTTACTCAATATCAACAAATCTCCAATCATATTGCTGTATATTAAAATTGTATTTTTTTCAGTCAAGATTCTGTGCAAATGAAATTGGCAATTTAAAAATATTAATTGCATTAAAAATACTTTTTTGAGTTCAAAGCAACTAAAACATTCATCATATTTAAATAAAGTTTTAAAAGTAATTGGTATAGTGGTGTAGTAAGGCTGCTCCATCTCAAATATATATTGTATCTGAAAGCTACTAGTAACATGAAAATTTAAAAAAGTGTTAAATAAATTGCCAAGATTAACCCTTGCTTTGCCACTGTATATGTGGAAGCTTATACAATAAAAACAACTTAAAACATGAACAACGAAAGAATTTTTCAATTAGACACTTCAAAATAATTTACAGAGCAATAAAATTGCACATTCTCATTTAAATTGCTATCAAACATCCAGTCGTTCTATCGACAGAGCATATTTCACAGCACTTTGTGAAAAATTTTTCAACTTAAAAGTTAATTATAAAATACAAAATAAATATGCACAACATAACCGACATAAAATTAATATTACTCAAGTGTACAGTGAGTAAATGAACAAAAAGGGACAGGAAGAAGAAAGAAAGAGAAAAAAATAATTTAAAGTCATTCACGATGTCACTTACATTACACTTCTAATGCTTATTTAATGCTGAAATATATCCTTCCATACCAATAACATTACAATTTCCTCGCATTCAATTTACATATAAATTTCTCCATCCGTTGCTCCGTTGTGCGAAACGTGAAGGAAGAAAGAATTTCTCATCTTTCTAGTATCATCATCATCATTATCATTACCATCAGCATCAAAGATCGAAGTGTGATGGAAATTAATTGACGTGTTGCAAAATTAACTTTGTGACACATTCGTGCTGTATGCGATGATATTAATATTCTTTATTGTACGAGACTCTATAAATTCTTCTTCATAATTTTAAAACTTTGCTTTCCTTCATTCAATAATGTGTTATCGGTTTTCTTCGTAAAACTTTTTATTTTTTTTTCAAGAAAATGAGTTATTGTGGATGAAATGGCACATCAGAGAAAGGGAGACGGAAAAGAATAATAAAACTTTCGCTTACAAAAGTAATCAAGCGGTGTGAAAAATTGTCATATTTCCTCTTTCGTGGTTGTGTGGATTTTTTTTGTTCCGTCATTACCTTTAGCTAGTTTCCTATTACCATTATATTTCATTTTTTGTATAGTATGTACTTTCTTCCCTAATTTTTTTCATGTCAAGGAGTCCAATATGTCACGAAACTTTTTGCTTTTCTTTTCTCTTTTATGTTATTTTATGAAGAGTCAGTCCGAGTGACAGGATTGTCCTAATTGTGTCTATGTGGGATGATGATGATATTTTTTGACATGCAATTTTTGGGAGTTTACGCTGGTATGGTGACTGGTGAATAGTTTAAGTGGATTAAGGTGGTTTTGAGAGGGAATTAAATGAACTGAATACTCATTTTAACTTTTAGTGATCCTAGCTTAGTCCCAGAAGTTGAAAAGAAACAATTTTGATCAGTATTGTCCTTTCTATAATGTTGTACCTTTATTGTGAAGCAAGCGACAAACAACCAGTCTTCTCTTGCTGAATAATATAATTGTCACGAGTGGAATGGTACTGTTATATAGACTAGCCGAACCGCTACATGATAATTATTTTTTACACGGATTTCCAGTAGACAGTATACTTCCAGTAGACAGAAACTAGACAAGCGGCTGTTAATATGTTATGTAAATATCTAGATATCATTTCAACTTGTTCTGATTGAGGATACTAGAAACCAAACCCTAAAAAGCTAGTTTTAAGATTGCTATGAGCTGGTCAATAAGAATTTAGACTTGCTTTAAAAGTAGCTTGTTAATTATCTGGTTGATGAGGGTAGATAGTAATTTTAACAATAAAATCGCGCAAATTCTCAAAATTCATTGCTAAAGTGACACAGAATATTCCAAAAAAATAATAGTTCCTTGAATACTGGCAATTGAAATCGAGACTAAAAGTACTAAATTTAAAAAATTACATAAAACCTATATGCGCTATATAAACACATTTCAAGCAACAATTCCTTACTTCCAATTCATTTTTCTTCTCTTTGATGGAAAAAGAAATGCTTTTTTAACATTTTGCTGTCTGTCGTGACACAAGTAATTGATAAAAGAATATAAAAAGAAGAAAGGAAGGAAGAAAGAAATTTTGCGGATCGACAAAAGTTTGAATTTTCTTTCCATTTCACCTAATCGATTTTCAATAAGTTGACTGTATCTTGTGAAAATAACCTATCTAATGTATTATTTTTTATTACTAATACATTTAAGCACATGACTCGATGTCAAAATGTACATAGGAAAAAAATGATTTTCTGAATTGATCGTAATGGAGGAATGGGAAAGTGTGCAGGTTAGGAACAGAAAATAAACGAAAAGTTCAGTTTTTCGGGGTCGATTAAATATAGTAAGAGCTAATAAAGGAAGGAAAATAAAAAAATATATCAAAAATTTACGAAAAGTGTCGAAAGAAATTCCTTTAATGTCATGGGAATTTATGTATGACTTTATGTCTGACATACGTGCATGATTTTTATGAATGAGTTGATGAGCTTTCCGCTGTCATGAGAATGTCACATTTCTCATCATGACATTTAAACTTTTTTTTTGTCATTTGTCCTTCTGCCTGCAAAAATATTATTAAATCATGGTCTATTGTCTAAACCTCAACTTTGACTTGACTTATTGCCTCTGTGAATATGAAAATGCAGTTTTAGGAATTATTCTAGTTTTATGAGCTTTTTGCTACACAAAAGAACAATTCTCTATAGTTTTTAATTGTAATAATATTAAGTAAGTTATGAGCTATGAAAGTTGAAGCAAGAAAGCTTTAGTTGGGTATGAAAAATTAAACTTTCATGCATGAAGCTATTTACAACACAAAAAGCTATAATAAATTCATGATCAAGATAAGAAATTACTAAAATTAAGCATGTATTTTTTCGGGTATTTGGTCTGGTTTTTATGGTAATTGTAGTTACTTTCGATGCGGTAGCTTGACTTATTGAGTGGATTCTACATGAAATTTTAGGAATAAATAAATTTAATTGGGAGTCAGTTTGAAACTTCTTTTACAAATCAAACAAATTAATGGAACCGACGTCTTAATTCCTGCCACTGAGCTGTTGAGGCTAAGGACATTAAAATTTCTTTTTAACCTTAAAAATATATAAAAACTAGAACTCCAAATCCATCAACAAAAACTTCATCGAACTACAGACAAAATATTCAAATTCAGCTTAATTCAGCTTCAGTTTTCATCAATATCTAAAATAAAGTTATAAAATTTTACGATCCCCGTATGACTTTGCCTTTATTCCGTTGTTCTTCCAGCTAAGAGTGTCTAATTTTCTGATAGAAAATCGATGGACATCCTATGCATAATATATGAGTTGACAATTTGCATCATAACAAGTTTTAATAGTGATTGTGACCATTTTGGTGTAAGTTAGTCGTAATGTTTTATGGCAAAGCAATTTACTGATCAATTAAAGACTGATTGGAGGTTTCATAGATGCAAGGAGCTTCTGAAAATGAGAAATTTTAGTCTAAGAAAATTCAATCCATCTACTTAATTATGCAGTGAAATATAAAGCTTTCTGACAGCCTCAATCTTGTCATTTTCATACCATCAACAAATGTCATTAATCCAATAAATTTCTGACAATCTACAGATTGTTTTTCCTACTAATTAGCAAATCTAAAATTCTATCGGAAATCTAGCTGTTCCGATGATTTGTTTATCGTTGTAATTTACCTTTCCTATTCATAAATTCTCGATAAAGATGGATTTAGCGTTTAAGTAATGCAGGCTGTCAAAACGTCACTTTAAGTGCAATCATGCGTGAAACGTGAGAGATTACTTTTCATAAATATGGCAATTTACAGTCAGGATTTCAGAACTATTTTGAACTATTGATGATGTGTGTTCAGGTTGAATCATTCCTTCTTTGCGGTTCTTACCTTTATTTCTTCCTTAAATGCCACACATTAGCTTCATTTTTATGCCTCACAAATTCTGTTTAATAAATAAAAAGTAATATTTTCATAATTTTTATTTAACTTACACTCACTTCTTCGTCCACACGTACACAAAGGAAATTGACTTAAAAAAAGTTTCCCCTTGATAATATGCTAAATACACAATAGCAATAAAAAATAACAACATTATAAAAGGGATTATAATTTGCTAATGAATGACTGCTGTTTTTACATGCAAAGTCAGCTTGAAAGAAAGTAAAATTGGAATTAAGGAGAAGGAGGAAAGAATAAAAGAAAAGAAAACTTTCTGTCAACCTTCTATTCTCTTCACTCAATTCATTCTACTCAATTTACTGTTGGCTGTGGTTGATATGTTGTTAAACCAAACATTAACAGCTATTTCCCAAGTCGACGTTAAGCAGTTTTGCTTTTATTTCTTCTCGCGATTTTGATTTCAGAGGTGGTGATTGATTGGTGTGCTTTATGGGGAATTGGGATTGGTTTTGCTGATTTGAAAAATTTGTGAACTAGAACTTTAGTTCTCTATTGCACTTCAGGTCTTACCCATTTGATTAAATTAGACTTGTGTTTGAAAATCTAAGGTTAAGAACAAAGAAGCTGGATAAGTGATGTTTGGGTTTAAACCTTCTTTCTTTTAGTTCCGATTGGATTAATTTCAGAGCTTTGAACATGTAATGTCATGAATATTGAATAGATCCTTGTCATATCGACGGCACTTATTTTAATAATTGAATCAATGTAAGTATATGGTGGGATTCCAACCCGAAATCTTAGAAAAAATACGATTAATCAACTTCAAATCTGCTTGCTAGCCCATCTGCCATAGAAACATTAATATCGCACCTGCAAAATCGCCACATATAATTTAATCCCGTAAAATTAAATGTCAATCACCAATACATTCACATTAAGGATGTTGTGATTGGATAAATTGCAGCTGATGTATAATATTGACCATTTAGGTCTGTAGATTGCATACGTTAAAATTGAAATGAAGATTTTAACTGCAAATGACAAAAATGGAATGAAAAATCAAACAATCCATGCCTGAATCAAACCACAACCAATTCACACAAAGTTATCAACTCTGCCAGATATTTTCACTCTCTGATTGCTATCTTAAATTCTAAAATTCCCATACACATACATCCATAAGCACGTGTACAGATATTTTTATACCATAGTAAAATTCAACGCACAGTCTAGTGATAAAATCGAGTGGTGAATTTTCATTCTTTTTATTTAATTTCTACTGACGATAAAATTTTATATTATTAAGTGGAAAAAAGAATTTCCTAGTAAAAAAGGTGGGGAAATACAAAAAAGGGAAAATTTATGTCGAATCATTTTAAGAATATTTATTTTCTGTTAATTTATAGAGGACAGAAAGACAAACTTGCTTACTCTCACATCCATATAAGTTATAGCATACATCGAATGTCTGAATGAGCTATAAATAAAGTCAAATATTCTTACATGCTGAACATTAATTATTAATCATTATGTATTTTTCAAAAAAAAAAACTTTAATCAATATTTATTCAGCTATGTTCCCTACTTTTTGCTGATTGTGGACTTAAAATGTTTCTTGTCAAGTCCCTCAGATAAATAATTTTTTTATGCAACCTCAACACTTTTAGCTTCTCAAACATATCTAAGCACTTCTTATGACTTTGTTATTTATATAACTTGCAAACATCTTGTGAACTAAATTTCAATTTTGAAACATGAAAATTTTTAATGAAAGAAAATGAGATTTTATTGATTTTTCTTCTTGCTTTTAAAAATTATTTTTCATTTCTCGGTTCTTTTTTTCATGTTTCAACATCTTCGATTTGTCATCAGAAAAATATATCTGAGATTTATTATAAAAATTCATTTTAATTTTGGCTAGCATTAAATTTTGTAATTTTACAGTCAACGAGTAATTTTTCTAGACGTGAAATTTGTCAATTAGATTTTGATTCTGTCTCGTTTTGATTTTGCATTTTATTTTTGGTATCATGTGAAGCTTGGGTGCCTACATGATCTCCTTTTATTTCATAAATCTGTTTTAATTTAATTAAAAATTGTGGTGTCCAAAAATCTGAATAATTTATTAATTCACAGCCATAATTGTGGTCACCCCACACTTTGCTATTCATGTTTCATTGAAGAACTCATTTGTGAATATAAAAAGCTGCTCAGATATAAAAATATATGCAAATAAATTGCTGAATCTCATTAACATGGGTGGATTTGTACTATGAAGTCTTGTAAATTAAAACCATTATAATAATCCATTGACTAGCTGTGAATGAGGAAGCGTGCTTTGAATGTGAAGTAGGAATTAAGTTTATATGGATTTTAATATAAAGAGAATGGATTACTGCAAGCTTGTGGTTTTTATGTGATGGGTTGTTGTCGAGGTCGAAGTGGATTTTTTGGGGAGGTTCGTGAGAAGTTACTGACTGTAATAGGAATGGCTAGAAATTTCCTAGTTCCAAAATTCTTCAGACAAGCCTATAGATCTCTATAATGTAAAGCAAGTCGGGTTCCATGGGAATCGAACCACGACCTCAAACGAGGCGATCTCTGACCACTCGATCAGAGATCCCTGCCACTCGACCACCGAGGTACTTATCTCATTTCGGCTATCCGTCATACATATATAACCAATTTCAACGCGAGCCCTATGCTCAGTCCTATCTACTACAGATATGCTCTTCGAGCCATATCAACAAAGCATCCCTTGCATGCTATTTTACCATTTCAAATTAAGTTTCAATAGAAAATTTAAAACAAAGATCTTATAAAGACATTCTATTGCAAGAAGATCAATTTTTTATAAAAACTTTAAGTGAATAACTGAAAATCATAAAAATATTGCTGAATTTCTTACTTTTAATATTTTGATGATCAAACAATGTTCGGACCCAACGAAAACATCAACAATACATGATTCTGATAAAATTTTTGTTATGTCGTCCTTTGTCAACAAATTTCTTTTGTTGTGTACTCGTTACAGCAGATTTATGGATGTTGTTCATCAGATCCCAGTTACAAAAGACCTAAGCTTCTCATTAAAATGGCCATTTTAAGCCTTCTGTAAAATGCCGCATAGCTACACAAAATGTCATTTTAATCCTAAAACTTAGTGCAATTTTTCATAACTAGATGTTGCATCACGGGCAGCATAACGTTAATGATAAGACACTCAAAGAAGTTTTATTCTTTTTCAAGCAATTTATCTCATGTTAATCTCTCCATATCCAATTATAAATGAATGAACAGCAGACGAAGGAAAAAAATGATTTTATGCAATATGAAAAAAAAAGACTTAAAATTCACTGAAACGGAAAGAAGAAAGTCGCTTCCGTAACAATAAAAAATTTCTTGTTAATGCAATTCACGTACAAACAGTTCATTTTTATAGATTTTTTTTGTGCTTGTATCTTCCACATGGCAAGAAAATACATATTGGGATATGAGAATGTTATTTATTATTTTTATTTTCATTTTTAACTCTTGTAACGTCAGTGCATAGACAATGAACAAGTAGAAACAAAGCTCATGAGGATAGGTAATACAAAATTATAGGATTGCATTAAATTTGAATGACTTGAAAGTTTTGAAGTTGAGGAGATTTTTTTTTGTTCATTTATTTGGGGTAATTTGAGTAAATAGATTGGATTAGGTCATGATGAGCATGTAGAGTGAGCTGAGGATTTTTGAAATTGTATGTCCAGCTGTTAGAATTGAGAAATTGTCTTCATTCTTTCTTAGAATTCCTAATCTATGGATTATTGGCATCCAAAAACTTTACCAGACTAGACAAATAAGAAAAATTTACCCAAGCTTTAATCTACCAATAAAATGAAATTTATTGTTACAACTAGAATCATCACAGGGATTGCATTCCAATAATAACGAATCGTTAAGGATAATTTTAGATTTCTATCGTCAATTTAGATCACCAGATTTATATTCCCCTGGCAGCAATTAAAGGAAATAACGAAGCAAATATTGACCATTTCTATTGTCTGTATAGAAATTCTTAAATTAATGATTCAACAGACTAGAAGAAAAAAAATCAATTTCTTTAAATATTATAGCAAAAGACAGGCACTGGTGTTGAAATCAGGAGGAGCTGAATTTCCCTAAAAACATTATTTTCAGTTTCCAGTTCCTACCTACAGCTCATACTAAATCTCGTTACAGCACAATGTAATTCTTGTGGATTTTATTAATAAATTTATTTTCCCCCACCTTAATTTACGTCGACAGGTG